AGGTTTCAAAATCTAATTGACTTAGAATAACAGGGTATCCCAAAAGTCTTAGTGTGGTAGTTTTAAGTTTTAATAATCAAAGAATTATAAAATCAAGCTATGAACTTATAAGAAATGTCATCTGATGACTGAAGTACCACACACCTACAATCCCAGCACTCAGGAGCCAGAGGCAGGAGGATCACTGTAAATATGAAGCCAACCCGGTCTACACAGTGAGTTCTGGGCCAACCAGGGCTACACAGAAAGACAAAGAAATAGCATTTGAAAGCTTACGGTTTAATCTTTTTTTTCCCTCTGAAATTGGCAAAAGGGATGTTAGTCAAAATTCACAAAATGTAGTTAATATAAGAGAATTTAAATAATCTTTTAAATTACATTTCTTATAAATTTGTTGCTTTATTTTTTACATAGTATCTGTAGTTATTAAAGCTTAAACTCGGCCCTTGGGAGGTAGAGAGAGGATCAGGAGTTCAAGCCGTGAGATCTGTCTCAATAAACAACACCACAAAAAGCTTAAGGATACCGACAGCTGTGAGCCCTTCCGCTGGTCACCTGACCTTCCGTCCTAAAGGCTCGTCTTTATTTTTATGGTCATTGTTGAAGGCTGTATAATATAGTGTATTGAGTAAGAGCAAAGTCATCCATCTCATTCCACCAGCGCTCGATCGTTAGACGGTTGGTGCGTTTCCGGTTTTTCAATGAAAATGAAACTTACATTCTGATCAGAAAGCTGGCCTATGCTTTGAGGTCGTCTCCTCTGATTTCTCTCTTCTTCTTCTTCTTCTTCTTCTTCTTCTTCTTTTTTTGGTTTTTGGAGACAGGGTTTCTCTGTGTAGTTTTGGTGCCTGTCCTGGATTTTGCTTTGTAGACCAGGTTGGTTTCGAACTCACAGAGGTCTGTCTGGCTCTGCCTCCCGAGTGCTGGGATTAAAGGCTTGCGCCACCGCTGCCCGGCCCTTCCTTCCTTCCTTATTCCTTTGAGACACAGACTCACTGTGCGACACTGACTGGTCTGATACTTGCTATGTGTCCAGGCTGGCCTCGAACTCAAAGAGATCTACCTGCCTCTGCCTCTAGAGTGCTAGGTTAAAGGAATGTGCCATCATGCCCTACAGCCCTTAATTTACCGGTGTGTGTATGTGTGGGTGGGTGGTGAGAGTGCCGAGTGCCATGGCCTGCCGTGGAGGTCAGAGGCCAATTTCGTGGAGTAGTTTGTCTCTTTGCAGTTCTATGTTGTTTCCTGAGACTGAAGTCAGGTTCAGTCCATGCAGCATTTCTGGCTAAGCCATCTTGCCAGACCTACCCTGTTCTTTTGTGAGGGAGGAATCCCAGGGAGGAGCTGTGTTTAGGCCTCAGAAATTGCAATGCCCAACTCAGTCCTCTGCCTCTGATCCAGGGCTCTCTCCACTCTCTGATATTGCTGCAGCTTCTTACAGACCCACCCCACATGCCCCTGTACCCACCCCTCAGCTGGGCCCATCAAGGCTGGGGTGGGGGGGTTCTGGCTCCCTAGAAGACAGCATCCCCTTCCTGTGTGGTGGCCTGAGTGCAGGCAGGCAGACAGCTACTTGTCCCTCCTGTGCTATTTTTATGTCATATGGGTTTCCTGTGGGGACCCAATCCAGCCTCCAGGGCCTCTGGGTTGGAAGCCATGAGCAGGGAACTGAGCAGTGGCCAGGAGACCCCGTGGCCATTTCTCTCCAGGAGTTTGATACAACAGAACTCAAGGCTTAGCTTTGGAGAAGCTGTGTGTGTGTGTGTGTGTGTGTGTGTGTGTGTGTGTGTGTGTGTGTGAATGGAGAAGCCTCCACACACGCAGTCCCAGAGCCAGGCTGGGAGCCAGGCCACCATGGACTTAGCCTGGGGTAGGGGTGGGAGTCAGCTAGCCTGGGCCAGTGACACAGCAGCTGGGGTGTGCTGGGAGCTGGCTGTCCCTGAACTTGTTGGCCCTAGGCCCGGCCCAGAATAGCTCAGGGCTGAGCCCAGCCTGGGACAGACCTGCATGTACATGAACATGAGCTTGTGTACTAAGACACGAGCGCATTGCATTCTGCATGCAGCTCTCTGTGTGTCTGTGTGTGTCAGTCTATGTATGTATGTACAGATGGATGTACAAGTGGCCATGAGTGGGATGGCTACCTCGGAGTCGTGTAGCATAGAGGCCCCTACCTGGCCAGCAGAGGAGGACCCATGTGTCCCAGTTGAGTATACACACTGGCACATTTGTCACCTGTGGAACTGCATGTATGTACATGACGTGTGCACATCTGTGGGGAGCTGAAGTGGGAGCCCTGTGATGTCAGGAGGCATGGGCATGGATTCGGTAGACAGCCCTCCCTGTGCCACCAGAGGGGCAGAAGCTGGTCCCCAGTCAAGGACTACCTGGAAGAGGCTGGCCAGGTCTTGCCTCACTTGGCAGATGATCAAAGAGGGTATGACGAAGCCTGTGGGGTGGCTCGGTGGAAGTCCAGAGCTCAGGAGCCTTCCAAACGCCCCCGACCGGGAAGTCACATCTGGGGAAGGAACCCTTCCTCTTCTCCTGCCAGGCCCTGCCTCCCTTCAGACACTTGTGCAGACGAGGAAACCTATGCCCAAAGAAGGAAAGGGCTGGCTCAGGGGCACCTGGCACAAAACCAGTTCTTTCCAGCTCATGACCTGCCCCGCCTGCTAAAGAGGCAGGCAGACGGCAGAGGTAGAGAAGGAGGACTCTGGGGGAACGAGGCTCCCTCAGGGGCACAGGAGAGGGTATAGAAAGCAAGGCAGGGGTGGCTGGAGGGTGGCTGGAGAAATGGCTCAGTGGTTAATAGCACTGACTGCTCTTCCAGAGGACCTGAGTTCAATTCCCAGCAACCTCAAGGTGGCTCACAACCATCTATAGTGGGATCTGATGCCCTCTTCTGGCATAAAGTCAATAGAGCACTCATAAACATAAATAAATCGTAAAAAAGAAAGAAAGCAAAGCCAGGCTGAGTTGATAGCTCAGTTAGGTAAGTACTTGCTTGCAGGCATGAAAA